TTATTATTATTATTATGACTTTACAGCACTTAGTGATGTAACAGTAGCAGACAGGGCAAATGAATTGTTGAACAATGCTGAAGGTCTGATGGTGATATATATCAACCAGCAGCCTAATAAAACACAATAATTATAGAGTCAATTATTTAGAGGAGAGAAGAGTCAAAATTGAAGGAGACTGGGAGTGAGCTGCATTTAGCACAAGGACAGAAGTATTGGAAAGAGCACACATTGTCAGGATCACGAGTAGAGTTATTGGTGCGACTAAAACGTGTTTCAATTTAACATAGGAGGCTGAACGAGTTTGGCCAGAACAAAATGTAACAAATCTAGAAATGTCAAAATAATATGATCACATGGCTCCTTCAAGGACTTAATAAAGAATAGTATGTCATTAATTTCGAGGACCATCATTAGTGGCAGCAGTTGAAGGTCAAGCAATCGAAGGTGATAATTAGAATCATAGCTGTTAAGAAGTGGCACGTCTCTGTACATTTTCCAGTGCTTTAATAATTGGATATTTTGTTGTTCACGAATTGGAGGATTTGGTTGAAAACTATCCTTTCTAATACCTTGGAAGAAACACACAGGAGAGATACATATTATAAAGGTCGGTAATTTTGAACAAGGCATCTGTCACCTGATTTAAAAATAGGTTATATTTGATGCAGGCGCCATTCGGCAGGGGTGTAGGACTGAGAGAGGCTGAGGCTAAATAGATGGTGGAGAGGCTGGTATAAAGCTGGAGCACAGAGCTTCTACAGTAACTTAGGACCAATTCGATCACAGCCTGCAGCCTTAGAAGGATCAAGGGATGTTAATGTTTGGAATACTTCTTCTTCAGAAATAGATATAAATTATCACCAAGGTTAGGAAAGATATTAGGCAAGTGTTATGCTTCTTATATGTTTTTAACTATTGTATTCGCCCCTCACTTTGTCTGTATATATACATGTCATGCCTGGGCGGGCCTCCTCGTAACCGGAACCCGTTCGCTTTGGAACGAACGAAAACGCGTGGTGTCAAACGGGGTGCGGTTGACCGTATTATATAGCGGCATGGCAACCGTGTCGATGGCCGCAGGCTGGCGGCTCGCTGAAAACTGCACGCACCACGGCATATGAGAGAGCGTTTCGGTTTCGCATAAGCCAGGCGCGCATGCGCAGTCACAGTAACCAGTTCCCAACACCAGCTAAACTGAGTCAAAGCTACGCTTCACTCAACATGAATCAAGGGAGAAACTACAAAGGTAAGCCGTGAAACTGGAGAAACACATTAGATTCTATTTTTCAGGTCAAGCCCAAAAAATTAAGTGCACCACAAGCAGAGCTATCAAACAAAACCTGTGGCAGTGCATTATTTCCTCATACTCACTCCTCTCCCTAAGTCAGCTGCTGGGCAGAATGTAATAGCCAACATAATCCATAGAAATAATGGTTGGGCTACCACCTTACACCATACCGCACACAATAAACTGAATCACCTTGGCTACTCAAGTCTCCAGTGGAATGTTGATAGGGTAGGGCCACATATTAAAGAAGTCCACTCAGACTGCTTTCACATGGTATCTGTGTATTCACATGGTATCTGTGTATTCACACAGAACTCTTAGCAGTGCCAACCTCAGTACTTTCAGAATATAATGTACTTGAATGTAGAGCTTCAGTAAGTGCCGAGCAGCCACTATAAATGCCATAAATAAGCATTGGCTGCATACATGAGGTTCCAAAGGGCTCTGGCTATAGCTGAGTAGGTTGCAGATAGTAAGAGTTAGATGGAGACAGTGAGAAACATGAACTCCACCAGTCGATATTTGTCTTTGGTGCTGTTCATTCTTGGTCTTTTGTCAATGACAGTGGCACAAGGTATGTATATACTAGCTATAGCAATAGATCCATCTTTTACAATGTTATTTTAAGTAAATTGATGACACTTTGTTGGTTTAAGACCCCACAGTATCACTGACCGGCCCTAATAATGTCGACGAAGGGAGTGTCGCGCAGGTGTGCATCACTCTCGAAAATGCAAATCAACTGAGTCAAACAAATCCTACCACTGTCATGCTGTCAACATTGGAGAGTGGAAGTAAGCCAGTGCATTATCTGTTTTTTGTCCACCAGTTTTGTTTGTTGGCCTTACACTCTGTACTGAACTTGAACTTCAGGCATAATGAATCACTCATGCCGTGACTCTTTCTACAGGCGCTGAAGAATCTGAAGATTTTATGCCACTTTCGATGATTGCCACATTTGAATTTGGAGCGACAGAAGAGCCTAAATGCTATGACATCATCACTTTAGACGATGATGATGTTGAGCAGATTGAAGTGATTAATGTGGCACTTAGCAATGAAAATGGAGTCGTCCTTGGCTTAACTTCTTCACTGCCAATAACAATTACCGATGATGATGACAGTAAGTTGAAACATAACCATTAGAAATGCTATCCACATTATTTTTATGCAATTCTACAGCTCTTGGTCTAGACTTGGTTCCTGGTGACTTGTCTGGGAGAGAGGGAGAACAGGTGCAAGTGTGCGTGGTGGTCACTAGGGGCTCAAACCAACTCGATAGCCCTATTAGAGTCATGATTAGCATAACTGATATCACAACCAGTGGTAAGTTACAGTTATTAGTGCAATGGCACATGGTAAAATCGGTTAAACATTATGTTTCCTCTTTACTCGCTCAGCTTTACCAGGTGATTATTTTTTTGTCGATCGTACGATCGAAATCCCGGTGGGGGCCATGGAAGGTCAAAACTACTGCACACAAATTACACTGGTTGCTGATGATGAGATTGAGCAGATTGAAGAGACATTTAGACTGAATTTAAGTCCAGTTCCTGGGATCACCAAATCGTTTGGACCTCACAAACACTATAAAGACTGTTACCATCATGGATGGCGACCGTGAGTCAGTATAATTATATCACAATCACTTTGGGAGAAAAACTGTAGCATCACAGAATCCTCTGTAGCTAGTTCTAGTCAGAGACAACATGAGGTTTATTAAAATTATTGCTTTATTGCTTATCTCTGGCTCAAACAAAAGCTACACTTTAGTTTAATCTTCTAGAGTCATACTAGATTTCAATAACACTAATGCTGTTTGAGGTTACAAAAATTATCTTATAAACAGGGGGTGCTGTGAGTGTAACTCCAGTGGAAGTGGAGGAGGGTAACAGCTCGACGCGGGGGTTAAACATTGTGATTCAACTCTCTGCCAGTATGATTCCTATTGATAGAGACATAGTGTATACTGTGGCACTGCAGGATGGAACTGCAACTGGTGAGTATAATACAATGTTTGCCCACCTTTATTGTACCACATTAGTTGTGTCCTTATTCTCATTTCATAGTGTACTATATATCAATCTCCTTAACAGGTGGATCTGACTATCAAAACCTATCTCCAACTGAAATAACCTTTGTTAGAGGTGCGGATGCTGGTGGCTCCAGTCGAATTGTTACAGTGCAGATTATTGGCGATACTGACGGTGAACCTGATGAGACGCTCACTCTTCTCATCACACCAAGCAATCCTCAAAATGATGATGGCTTGACACAGACCTTGACTATCATTGACGATGAACGTAAGCACACATAATTATTTTATGTGATTGACTTTAGATATGCATTATATATCATTGTAGTAATGACTATAGGTATATAACAGTTTCAACATTGCAATTATACAGTATGTAGCTAATATTTTGCGAATGGTCCATCTCAAAAATTGATACTTTGCAGCCCTGAAACTAGAGCCTAATTTCTTCATAATCAATTACAGTTCACTTCTGCCACTTTAGCCAAGTGTGAGGTTCTAACAAATCCAACTAATGGTGAAGTCACACTGACTGGACTGTATGTTGGGGCTGAGGCAACCTACTCGTGTGATCTTGGGTATGAGCTAGTCGGAGAGAGCGTGAGAACTTGTGAGGAGGGACCAATGTGGAGCAACGCAGAGCCAGAGTGTGCCTGTAAGTTACTCTGTTCCAAGTTAGAGTAATCCCTGTAGAGTACTGAAAAATAACTACATGCTCCTATATACAACACTAGCCAAAGTAATACATAAGCTTCTGCAACATCAGTTGGCATTTTTCTATCTCTTCCTTGCCAATTAATTTTCTCCTCTCTCATTTCCCCCCAGTAATCTTGTGTTCAAACCCACCTGCACTAACAAATGGGAGTGTGGATACTATGGGTGTGTATGTTGTTGGGGCGGTGGCCACATACTCCTGTGACTCTGACTACCGGTTCAGCACTGAGGCAACCACCCGGACATGCCAGCGGAACCAAACGTGGTCAGAGGAAACCATAGCCTGTGAAAAAGGTAGCTATCTAAGGTTAAAATTCTTTTCTCCAATTGATTTTCTCCTCTCTCATTTCCCTCCAGTAATCTTGTGTTCAAACCCACCTGCACTAACAAATGGGAGTGTGGATACTATGGATGTGTATGTTGTTGGGGCGGTGGCCACATACTCCTGTGACTCTGACTACCGGTTCAGCACTGAGGCAACCAACCGGACATGCCGAATGGACCAAACGTGGTCAGAGGAAACCATAGCCTGTGAAAAAGGTATCTAAGGTTAAAATTCCTATATCAAGCCTTCTTGCTGAAAAGTGTTGTAAATATTAGAGAGCTGAATTTTTGTTGCCTCATCACTATTAATTTTAGCTTTCTCATCTCATAGTAAGTTAACTCAGCACCCATGCAATTGTAATAACCAGAGCTGCCACCAGCAGTGGAGATGTCGGTGTCACACATACAGCTATGCCAGATACAGCATGAGCAGATTGCATTTTTGTTGTTGCCTTAATCACGAAGCGACAATCCAATAAACACTGTATAAATAAAGCTGGCAGGGCTCTTGGAAAAATGCATTAATGGGGTTTAGACAATAAACAAGCAGACTGTGTTGTTTTTTAACGTGTTCCTCGGCCGTCCACAGTATCACCAAGAGTGGTTGTTGACGATGAACTGAGTGGTGGAGTCATTGCTGGCATTGTTATCGCCATCGTGGTTGCTTTGGTTCTGCTGGTGGTCCTCGTTGTGCTCCTCATCATGTGTCTCATGCTGCGCAAGAAGAATCGATCTGGCAAATTCAACCCTTCCTATGAGACGCAAGGTAGCTCTGCCCCTAAGTTAACGTATGAGATACCAGCAAACCTTTCAGTTAGTCACGAACATGTAGTTTAAGTCATACATATAATGCTTAATATAACAGGGAGTTACCATATAGCTACCTGATTTTTTACTTTAGATTCACCAACACGGATCCATAAGACAGACATTGGGGACCCAGTTCTTGTCCAGGATCCAGAGGCCGGGGAACCCGGCACAGGAGGTGTGGCCGAGAGTGAACTGAATCATTCCAACGAAATGCTCATAAATTAGCCAGGGTCGCCCACACCATAGTAGCTACAACTGTTGTATTGCATAGTCCCTGTAGGTTTTTAAAGGTATACACATTTACCCCCTTGTGTGTCTTTTCATGGTTGCATATTATTTGCATGTGTGCACGTTTCATACTCTTATATGGATTATTGCTACAAACTCCATTTTCATTGTTATATGTGAGTTAGACCTGCATGCTGTCTCCACAGCAGAGATAGATATCCAAAAGAGGGAATTGCTGAGGATAGTCGTGCTCTCCATATGTGGTTGCAGTGCATGCAACTACACCCAGAAGAACTTTTTTTCCAAAGGAAAAATATAGAGCTGCCCTGGGTGGGATTCAAATCCACGAGTCTAGGCAGAGGACTCTTACCCACTGAGCTACCAGGGCTGCTCAGCAGGCTGGGGCTCAAATCTACAACACAATGCAAGGCAAAGGCAAACCTCTACAGCTGTGTTATAGCAGTGCATGTGCAGCTAGGGTGGTTGTAGCTTAGTGACAAAGGGAATGCAGAAGACGACAAACAAGCCCTGCAAAGTCCTATACACTGGGAGTGCATCTAAAAGCTTCACTGCAACCAAATGTAGCTCACAGAGCAATGAAATATGGCTATAGGTATGGAAGCCTTGGTTGCTGGGCAGCTGTGTCCTGGTCAGTGATGGCACACAGAAGACAGAGAAGGTGCAAGGGGAACTCGTCATGTACATTCCAAAACAGCTTCTTCATAGTGCAAGCAAACACCACTGCTGTAATACGCATGCACTGATGATGCGACATGATAGCTTGGTCTGAGTTCCCGTACTTTGAACTCTGCCTGTTAACTAGAATGACATCACCATGTCCTAGCTCATGCATGATCAGGGCGTGTAGTCTTGCATGGTATTTTTTTATAGTAGTTGCTTGGTCATGATGTCATTCTAAAATTTTATGAGGATGCTCTAGAAAACCACGCCCAATGAGGCTATTAGACCTAGTCTCATGCTGCATATTTTGCTGCAGACATGTAACCAAGCAACACAGTTGTGCTAATGAGGAGTCTTAGCAGTTCAGAATAATTACAGAGAGCTTTCCTGCTGTTAGGTAGCAAGTTCAGTGGCATTCAAGAATGATTTGGAGCTCAGAGCCATTATAAAATCAATACCAACTTTTTGTATACCAGCTAGCTTTTGCCTCTAGGGCTGCTAACAGGAGATGGGTCTGGGAAGAGCATGGCTACAGAGTTTAGTGGGAGCTGTGTTACTTGTGATTACCCCTGCAACTGCTCAAGGTGGGTTTACAGCTACAATAATAATTAGCTGTAGCAGACAATGGATATACATACATAGTCATTGTATTTTCGCTATCTGTGTTTCGTGTTAGCCATATCTGCAATAGTCGGACTGAGTCTGGACAACAACACTGTCACCGAGGGAGACTCAGCACTGGTGTGTCTGGAGCTGTTTCAAAAGTCCCTGATTGCAGGGGCTGCCTCGGTCACTCTCATCACTGACAAAGCAGAGGCAGGAAGCACTCTTACAGGTACATAATGTTACCCACTCTTAATTAAAAGCCAGATATTACGATTCCGTACACTATAGAATGCATATTTTAGACCCGACCCTGAGGGGTTGTCAGATTTCTTTATGTGTCACTGACACAGTCTACATTAGGAACATTCTGTAGCTAGCTGCTTCTCAACAAAGTTCTCAGTGCAATGCTCACAAAAATCACCATAGTATAATAATGAGAAATTGAATCTACACAGCAGGGGCAGATTACGCTCCACTGAAGGAGGAGTTTTTACTCACTCCTACCAGCCCTAGCCAGCAGTGTGTAATGCTGCAGACTCACAGGGACCATGCCGTGGAGGACACCGAGATTGTTGCCATTGCACTTGTAAACAACAGCGGAGTCGATGTTGGACCACCTCTTCATTTGAGCATCATTCCAGCTCAAGACAGTACGATAATGCAAATAGCCTAACTAATTAATTTGTCTCTAGTTGTTTGGCCATAGCATTGCAAGTCCTGAGTTTATGAGAGTTTACTCTCATTAGTATATTGCACTGCAAGATTTTATTTTTAACAAAAAGTTAACAGTAACGAATAAAACTTGTGTTACGATGTACAATGGCTGATGTTAAGTTAAGCAGTTATTAGGGAAAGGCAAAAGGGGCCCATTCCTATATAGTGTGGACACACTTCTGAGTTATGGCTAAAATAGTGCTAGACATTTCTAAGCTACAGTTCGGCATAAAAGCTATTTCTCTCACTCAGTAACTTAAGATCGTGCAAAAAGTGCTCAAAAAGGAAAACGTGATATCAAGTACCAAAACATGTAGCTATTTTCAGTACATAATCCCTCAGCAGTGCAAGCAATAATATGAGAAAATGCTGTAGAGTAAGTTCTGCACTTCAAGATAAAGTTTTATACGATGAATTAGCCCTTTTCCCACAACCTGTCTTAACAAGGTTGTAGTGTATGAACAAAATCCTCACTATCATAAAAACTATATCATTCTTCTGTGCAATACCTAATGAATCAGAGCTTGTGGTGGACTTTGTGGAGATGTCGTACACAGTCACTGAGGGTGGAGGTCCACTGTACATGTATGTTGAGCTGATTGAAGGAGCCATAGAGAGAGCTTTTCCCAGCACTGTGGAAGTGGAGTTCACCACACTGGACCTCTCAACTGAAGGTAGCTATAGAAAAGTTCTTTACAGGTTCAGTGATACGTACATTCCCAACAAACACTGCATGCATGCTGCATCTAAAACGTGGATCGACAAGTTAGCTTTTTACACTAGTTGGCTGTGAAAAGTCACATAGCCAATCTTACTAGTTGTAGCTACGTACTGAAAATCAGTTAATATTTTCTCTCTTGCAGGTAGTGATGACTACACAATTCCAGCCAGTGTAGTCTTCTCAGCAGAAGATACAGCAGGCAGTGTAAAGGCAGTGGAGTTCACAGTACAAGATGACCTCCGTGTTGAAGGCCCTGAGACGATGCATGTGGTGATAGTTACAGACTCGAGGATAATGAACCCTGTAACTACCAGCAGCAAGGGAGTGGCAGCAGTCACACTACTGGACAACGACAGTGAGACATAATATACAGTGTTTATAGTTTAGGGCTTCTGATCTCTGAACCGTCATTTAAATTTACTCCAGATGAAGCCTAAAATGGCTGTAATAATGGCTTCTGTTCAGTAGACAACAGACTATAGAAAGCTACATTAGTGGGGATATACGTTGGCAATCCATTTTAGTGGTATAATATAGTACCTATAGCATTCCTCGTTTGTCTAATGATGCACACGTTGTATAGTCACTCATTGTCTACCAGGTATATATAACTATCCCCCTTCATGCAGAGGCATCAGTAGAGCTAGTAAGTCCTGCAGTGGCCACTGTAGTGGAAGATGATGACCACGGAAATGGCAGTAGAGTGGAGCTGTGTGTGGAGCTGGTGGTAGAGCCAGTCCTTGCAATTGACAGAGCTGTGGTAGTGTTATTCGACACTGAAGATGTCACCACCGGTAAGACATCTGAATGTCTCTGTAAAAGAGTAATAATAGCTGAAACAGAGGAGAAATGTGGATTATGAGGGCAGTGCTCCTTGGACACAGTTCCACACGTTTCGGTTCTCAAGTCTTGTAGTTGGCTTGTGCCTTTGCATTGCTATATATCTCGTAATTGACACATACAGTTATATCAGTGGTGCAGGCTAACTTTCAACTAACTTTAATCCTGCAGATAGTTCAGACTACAGACTGGGGGAAACAGTGCTGACATTCCAGCCTGACTCTGCATCATCCACACTCTGTACTGCCCTTACCACAGCACCTGATGGTGGAGAGGAGTCCAATGAGACTGTAGTAGTGCATGTTGTCCCAGTGGCTCCTGATACCACTCCTGGAGGGGAACAGAGGAGTCTCACAGTCAATATTCTTAATAATGATGGTAAGCATCTTATAAGTCCTTTGTCCCACACAACTATTTATGGGGTTGCCTTTGCTTTCAGCCTTTGCTATTGTAGAGCTGCCCTGGTATTCAGTGGACAGCTCAAGCCCTGTGCCCCGGTGCCATGGGTTCAGTGCCAAGCGCTAAGACAGTATATAGATATCTGATAAATTTTAACTTGTGTACACTTCCATACCTCACTAATGAATCATGAAGTGTTTTCATGATTTGTATATACTTCCCACAGTAAACTGCCCAGCAATACCAACTCCTCCCTATCCATCTCTCATTGTGACTAGTGGTGGCCTAACTGAAGGGGCAACAGTCATTTACTCTTGTGCTCCTGGTTACAATCTCAATGGAGGTGCTCAGCAAGTATGTGTTGATGGAATATGGACTGGGAGAAAGCCAACCTGTACAGGTAGATGTTTAAGTTAGAACTGGCCCAAGTAAATAGGTGATCCATGGTCAAATGATTGCCTATCAGCAATATGGTTTCCTGCGTTATACATTTTCATCTATCTTATCTACAGCACTGAACTGTGGGGAACCACCGCTACTAGAGAACGGGGAATTTAGCCTAGCTAACACCACCGTCAACAGTACAGCAGTCTATTTCTGTGAAGAAGGCTATCGTGAAAGCCTGGGTCTTGGCATGAGTAATGAAATCCAGTGCATGCCCGACGGGACTTGGTCACAGTTAAACTTGGAGTGTGTTGCACTTGGTAAGAAAAATGTTCTGATAAAAAGTGCATTTTCTACTCAAAATTGTTGTCTATTAACTTAAGCATTGTGTAAACTTTAAGTCTCTAATACTTTGTCTGCAGTAAGTTCCAAGTTTGGCATCATTAGGTTCATCAGGTCGGGAGAGTGATGGGCTTGGAGGTGGAGGGATTGCAGCCATAGTCATTGGAGTATTGCTGATTGTAGCGACAGTTGTGGGTGTGGTCTCTCTTCTGGGGACCTTGTGCTACTTCTACTCCACGACTGGGGTCAAGAGGTCGGGGAAATACGTTGTCGACAATTCCGATATTGAAGGTAAACTAAATTAGTTGCTAGCGATAATTAATGAACTGGTGGGAATGACACAGAGTAATAATTGTTTTCCAGATCCACAACCAATGAAAAGCTCTAAGCCCCTATCTCTAACCGATTTTGAAGATGAGAACGTTTTTGAGGAGGACACTTTTGTTACCAGTTCTTCTCTGACTGATGTCTAGCTACCTCTCCAGGTTAGTTTTATCTGATCTGTCAATTATCTTCCCCATTTAAAATCCCTGTAAATGGCCTTCATAGGCTGGGGCAATGTTGACATTGCTTGTTGTACAATCTGAGCATATGCGAGTTGGTATTTACAAGTGCTGTCCTACATTTTTTTTGCATGTTTCTGATGACCGGAGAGATAAGGTGTTAGGCTTTTCTCGATCCTCTGGCTTGGATGAGGTTGCATGATGCAGTTCAGCACCAACATTACATTAACATGTGACTCTCCCTCACTTTGTCCTACTATTCCCTGTCCTGTATGCTGGATCTGTTCTCTATCACTCTAATTACACAGTTTTGTGTATTATTTGCCATTCCATTAAGACTGCCCATGCCTGGTGCTGATAGGTATTATAGAACATTGCCTGTGAACACAAAAATATTTCACCCTCTCCTGCAGGTCGTCTTTGTGATGATGGACTCTTAGGAATAACTCCTCCCCTTTATTCACACTAACTGTACAGCAATCATTCCATTTGTGTGTGTTGAGACGGAGCCCTTTACAACTTTATCGGTTGGATTTCGGTCGGATAAGTTGTACATTACATAATGAAAAATCCTGCATGCAGACGACTAACCAGGCTTGCTTCGGTCATCAATAAAGGCTGCCAGTAGCACTGCAAAAGTAAGACTTGTCACATTCATGAGATGACATGTAGCTACAGGGGAACGTCTTAAGTTCACTTGCAGCCTCCCTCCTACTCTCCTTTTAAAGGTTTTCATTGGGCAGAGGGGATAAACGATAATTTTGACCTCTGATAATGGAGCAGTAGTCACAAAGGTTTTGATGCATAAAAAAAGGACTACTAGTAATAGGTTAGAGTCATGAAAGCTCCAATAAGAATTCTCAGGATCTAGGAATGACTAGCAAACTTGTATGTTATCACCACTGCATATGTCAGTAAAGCATCACGGCCGATAGTAAGATATCAGAGTCTTATTCTCATGGGTCCAATCTCTGTCAGACTGCACTGTCGCCGCGCAACGCAGCAACCGTCACCCACGATCACACTGGACTAGGAGTGCTACAATATTGTTTTCGGGCTCGCGTAGTTCTGAAGCCACCAATGAGCAATACCAACGGCCTCAGAACTACACGAGCCTTAAAAATAAAGAGGCAATTTTGCTAAAACGACTGCGTTCGAGAGCGAAAAACTGGCACGGTCGACAACCGAGTTGCATGGCTCAACCTATCAATTTTTTCTTGATTTAAAACACACGACTAAGAGGTACAGAAAATAAAATGAATGAGGGATAGACAGAAGAAAAACAACAGTAAATAAGAGGGGAAACGGAACAAAGAATGGAATACAAAACAGACATAACAAAATAAAACAAACAAAACAAAGGCAAATTAAATAATGCGGTCAATAGAAGGGGGTCAATAAAGAATCGATATCGCCAAGGAGCAGCATTCCCACGCCAGAGAGACACAGAGCAGCGCTGGAAGAGGTGACGAATTGAGTCCCCAGGTGAGACCCCTAAATGCTGGCCCAGGAGGCGTCCAATTCTGGACAACGAGGTGGTTGTGGTCTAACTCATGCCGCTCAGGGCCTCAAAATTAAGGGGGATGAAAGAGACCCCAACAGCGCAGCAAGCTTCTTCTTTAAATTCGCAGGATTTTTGAATACTTGTCTCCACTCATTTTTATAGCTATATACTACATATATTTCTGTGAAAGGGGCCCCTATAAAAAAATTTCATTGCCTGTTGTTGTCATGGAAATGATATAATACACATGCATAGCTACCAAGTTTCGCCTCCATGTGTGCTGCCGTCAGCAGGTCTGAAAAGTGAAGAATAAAGGCCTAAAGCTATTTGCTGTTGTTCAAACAACATGATGGTTGTCATGGATAAATGATGTCATACGCATGCATACCAAGTTATGTGTGCTACCATTAAAAGTTTAGGGCTAGTTACTTCAAACCAAACTGGATACATATATGGCAAGTTTATTAGTCTTGACAAACATGGAAACACTGAAGTTACTACATGTACCTCTTCTCTGGTTTGAGTGTCCCTAATCTTGACCCTTCCCTTGGCTGTCTCATCTTCCCCAACAAGGGGCACACCCTCTTGCTTGCTGTATTGGAACTGCTCTGGATTCCTCTTGTACAATATCTGAGTCTGGAGCACACGCAGAAACACTAGGTATCATAGACTTTAAGAATGAAACCTCTTTATAACACTATTATAGGATTGACGTAGCTAATTTACTCACGCTAAAAAAGACACCTATGTATTTTAACTTATAGCAGGCAAAATATATCACAAATGTTCTCCTTTAGGTTTTTCATTTTCAATTTTAAGCAATGTTTATCCAGCATCACACAGCAGGGTGAAGACCCTCCTGCTCCAGGAGAAACACAACGTGTTTTAGGCCACAGATAACTTACCCCGTAATCTGTATGCGTGACACCCCACTGACAGCGCCACAGCCAGGCTGCGCGTAAGGTCCACTAACCCACGGCGCGCATGCGCAGCGAGGGTTGTGTGTGTCTCTTTCGCCTCAGGCTGGCTACGAGGCAGCCCATGAGCGATATCAACGTCTTCAGAACTACGCGAACCTGAAAAGGAAAAGGGCGATTATCCTGTAACGACTGCGTTCGAGAGATATGACGTGAAAACCAGAAAAAAGGCAATCTTGCTCTTTGTACCTTGTGGAGGCACAAGAAGTCACAACGAAGGCCGTGTATCGGCTCCGCATCGGCACGCTATCTTATAGTGTAGCTAGCCCGTGTCGGACTCTCCGCGACCAACTAGCGTGAAGACCACGTCTAAACGCGCATACTCATAGCCCAGCCCATCAATTAGCGGTGCCGCGCATGCGTAATGCGCCAAGGGTTTTATCGTACGGCGAGACTTTCAACGACCCACACTGCAGCTTAACACCGCAATGACATGCCCGCTTCGCTAGCCAAAAAATCATTCGGCTTTGGTTGATGTATAGCTAGCATGCAGTGCCCAGCTCGGTATGAGAAACGTGACCATTGTCTTATTGCCTGTAGCTACTCTAATTGAAGAATAGAAGGACTATATATACCTGCCTCCCTAATATACCACACACCACAATGGGTAAGAGGTGGTCATTATTCCTAGAAAGGTTTCACTGTTACCGTCATATATTAAGAATGTGGTTTTCCGGCTCAATCACATCGACATCGCTATGCTAATAAGATAACGTCATGAAGTCACTAGTGCGGGTGTAGTAGGAAGTAGGTAGGTCAGATTTGTGCTGGTCGTCGAAATGCAGCAATACCTGGCGGACAATGAGTCTAGCTAGCGACGCCAGCGCGGTGTGGAATTCATCGAACTGCGCAGCAGGGAGAGGGAGGCATGCGGTAATGTCAACATCGCCAAAGCATTCGCGCGCTTAGCGGTCATCTGCTGTGTCACTAAAGTGGTTTCCCTTACCACAGAGTGAAACACATGCAGTTCAAATAGCTATACGCCCGGATAGAGCTCTAGCACAAAAACGGCATAGACTTGAGCAAATTGGTGTCAGTTTAGCTTTATAGCCATGGGAGGTCTAACAACGAAAGAAATATTTGTAGCCCTGGTGTATGCAGTACTGTCTTTGTCTGTTCGAGCACAAGGTAGGAACTATTTACTAGATGTTAGCAATCTGTTAATCATAATTATCACTCTTTTTTGATTAGTCATACAGCTCACCACCACGGATCTGACAGTACGTGAAGATGAATTAATGATTGATATCTGTGTGGAAGTCTCAGATGGAACCATCCCCGAGAACACCATCGTTGAACTCAACACTGGAACTATGGATTCAGCTACAGGTATTAGCAGAGAAAACAAGTAGATAATATGTACTCATGCATCAAGGAACAATCAACTGCATTTGTGGTATTCTTTCAGGTGGTTCAGACTTCACAACACTATTTCTGCGAAGAATCACATTTACTCCCGATGGAGAAACGACGCAGTGTGTGCCATTCTTTGTCATGACTGATGACGAATTAGAAGGAACCGAAGCTGCAACTGTGGAACTCAGGGAAGCTACGACTAATACTAACAACAATCTGATAATCGGGGCTTCAAGACAGGGTTTTGATAAATATTTTGGACAGTAATGGTGAGTTTGTTTGACTATGTCTTGAATTTTGTGCTTCATTATTAGACTTTCCATTGATGACAGCCTTGCATAAAATAAGCTAGCAAGAAAGTGAACGTACCTTTCATAACCTGCAGAAATCACAGTTGGATTTCAGTTCCTGTCATACACTGTGCGTGAAGGTGGTGATCGGACCATGGTCTGTGCTGAGAGACTGCAGGGAATTGTGAGCAGGGAGCTGACACTGGTAATCACTGCCATCCCTGAGGACATGTCCGAAGGAAATGCTTCAGGTGACGTGACCAACAAGCAAGCAAGAAACCAGGACTGTACAATTAATAATTATGTGCCTAGATGATACACACTGCGAGTAGCTACATGTTCGTTTAACAGTTTATGCTAGACAGCTGCATAGTGTGCAATTCAGCAACTAAACCTCGGCTTTCACTATGACATAATACTTGTGGTAGGGAGCATAAGAGAATTTTTTTATCAAAGCCTCCATGTAGTGCAAATCGGTGGTACTCTACCAAATTTAACTCATTGTTTGCGGAATGGCTTATGAGTAAGTAATTATGGATAATTAAAGAGGCAGAAAGAGTTGTTCGGATAATAACAAGAAAGAGAATAAAACCATGAGATGGTTGATATCTGTCATTAACCCCCCTCTCAGTGGCACCAATAAAGTTAAAATACTCTGGGTATAGAAGTGGGTAAAGCAATCAGTAGCCATAATTTTGTGTGTAATAATGAAAGAGTGCACAGCAAGAGAGTACTTGGTCTTGATTGTTCCCCTGTAGCTAGCGTATTTTCCCAAGACTACCTTCTTCTGCCGGAGTCAGTGCTCCTCACACCAGGAGCTGATATCGCCTGTGGGATGTTTGGATCAGTGGATGACAATGGCGCAGAAGTCTTGGAGGAGCTAGAGTTCTACCAGATATCCCTCTCTACCAATGACGCTGCCATTATTGCACCTGGACGCTCTGTTGCCAACATTTTCATCGAAGACAATGACGGTAGGTTGGGAAAACTCATGTAATCATTGGGAGAAGCTGAATTATTCACAGGTCATTGTTGTAGAGTCATAATTTCAGTGTCAGTTTTCACTAAATGATGCCTTTCAAACTGCTAATTAATTATTCAGCAGTTTCATCTTGCCTCATTACTTGCTATATCTACATCATAATATAATTATCGTGACTGCTGTTATGTTGTAGGTGCAACAGTGGAAGTTGTGTCCAGTTCATCTATGATGCAGGAAGGAAACAGTGGAGACCAAAATACATTTCAGCTCTGTGTTATGCTGACAGATGTTCAGTCTGGACTGGACAGAGACCTCATTTTTAGTGTCTCTATTGAATTTGGTACTGCAGGTAAGGAGTGTCTGTTACATCATTAGAATAGTCGGTGATTAAGAGGCAGAGAGAGGTAATTTTAAAGTAGGGGGGAGGTAAGAGAGAGGAGGGAGGGAGAAAGGAACAGAGAGGGGGAGGGGGAAGGGAGGGAGAAGGGAAGAGTGGAGGGAGGAATGAAAGGGGAAATGAGAGGAAGGGGAAAAGGGAATATGTAAAGTAAGAAATGGGGGAGGAATAAACTTACAATGCCTTTTCTCAAACCCTCAACTCGCAGATAGCCAAGACATCACTCCAAGTGGCTCTCAGCCTCTTGTCTTCCTAAGTGACTCTGTAGTTGGTGATACTAGGTGTGTGACCTACGAGATAGTGGGAGATGAATTCAAGGAAGCAGATGAGACTCTGACTGTCACTCTAGAGCAGGAGAACCTGGATGATAGTATCTCTAACACTCGGCAGATTTCAATAACCATTGAAGATGATGGAGATTGTGAGTGGTTTATCCTTTGTAATAATTCATGTAAGACAATTATGATTATGTACAAAAACGACACATATTATGTATTTTCTCGTGTTTGTTTGTTTTAACAGTGGTGCAGTTCTGTGAGGGGCTACTGAATCCTTCCAATGGGGTAGTTACACTATCAGGAACTCTAGAGAACTCTACTGCTATGTACACATGTGATGTTGGGTTCATTCGTAATGGAATGAAACGCTCATGTGCCTTAGAAATGCTACCACAATCCCTGGAATATGGTCTGGCCCAGAACCCACATGCACGAGTGAGCAGTTACATACCTTACATACCTATTAATTTTACTTGCAAGTATTTTTACACTACACCCTCATTTCTTTGAATTGTGCTACTTCAGAGGTGACAGACTGTAACAGGCACATAATATTTGACTTCTGTGAGCTGCTAAATTATGAGATAACAACTGAATCACTAACTTATTGGACAGTTAAAATTAGGGGTTTACAGTAGTAAATCTTTTGGTATCTTCTACCATCACAAAGCTGCTGACATTTTATTATACTTTCTTAGTTGCTGAATGTGGAATCACCTCCGATGCCTGGTGGTCAAACTATGGTTGACTTCACAACCACCACCTACCTCTCTCAAGCCATCTACTCCTGTTCAGACTCCTGCTACCAACTTGTTCCAAACATGAACACTCTTGTGTGCCAGGCAGACCAACAGTGGTCTCCTACACCTGCTCCAGAATGCCAATGTAAGTGTTGAATATGTGATATTACAAGTCGCTTTAGGTAGTCGTACTAACAGAAGCCTAATGGCACTGCAGTATTCCTATGTATTAGTATTATTATAAGTCTCCCTGAACTGTGAGTCAGCGGATGCTAATCAGTAGTGTATGCTCTGTATACCTAAATGAGAGAGTGTTGTTTATCAGGAAGCACTGCAAGGGCCTACATGTCCAAAAGGTGCAGATTCCAACATGCACACGGTGTTGCTTGAATGGTGACGGTTATCTGTGCCAATTCTATGTATCTATCTCTACGTAGAGGTAGAACTGGCAAAGCCTAAAAGTACACTTGAATGGCATTTAAGCATTAACCTGAAATAGCTTCATACTGTTACCCAGCTCACTCTTGTATCTGTCTTTAACATACAGTAATAGATTGTGGACCACCCCCGGAGTATGACAACTGTACACTCATGTCCACTAGCAATGGCTGTGGTTCTATGGCAGCCTACTCTCCAGTGGACTCACAGATCATCAGGATATTTGGAGACACTGAGCTCACTTGTGGCTCAGATGGAATGTGGCAGGCTGACCCTCTGGAAGGCTTCCCCTTCTGCATCGATAGTTAGTCACTAGTGTAATACAATGTCTTAAAATCCTTGCATAACTAACTTTAACTACTGTGTGTGTACAGGGTATGAATTGTAGGTATGCAGTAGTGCCCAACATGAAATGTGAAACATAGCTATATACATGGTTAGGAACTGCTATTAAAACACCAACCACAGAACAGGTCTTAATACTTTATTTTATAACCATGAAAATCAGAGGACCTGGTATATTATTATATCAACACATCTATTTCTTTGATTCAGTTGGAATTTGTCCTGAGCCTCCAACACCTACGAATGACATCTGTCTTTCAGTCATTACAAGGCCCAATTTCAATTCCCTGGAGGATGGGGCGGTGGCTAACTACAGCTGCCCTGCCGGCTGCTTCCTGAACCCCAGCAATGCCACCAGTCGTACCTGCACCATGATCTCTATTACTGAGGGGTTGTGGTCTGGAGAGACTCCATCATGCACTGGTGAGCCACTCTCATCATGACTTTAGTTATAATATATAAACTAATGGCAGAATCGGTCTATTATAATCAGCACATTATCTCATTTCAAATTCATCATCGCA